ATTTTGTTTATGCTTTTATCTGCATTTCCCCAACAAATGGGGTGGTGGTCTGCCTTTCTCATGATTGCATTTCCTCTTCTGTGAAGTGGTTTTGTCCATTTTTCTATTGTTTGACTTTTCCAATTAGTTTGTAGGAATTCCATATGAGAGGTCTTGAGGGGTATGCAGGACATGAAGCTTTTATCTGTATGTAACAAATATTTCTCCTCTCTACAATTGTCTCTAGACTTGTTTATGGGGTCTCCTACCATGTAGACATTTAAATATCTGATATGGTCTAATCTGTCTTTTCTTTTATGGTCTGTCTTTTCCTTACGGTTCCTGGCTTGCTTGAGAAGATCCTCATTACTGCGCCCCCCCCCCAAGATTATATAAGACTTTCCTTAAACTTATATTTTTACTTCTAATTTTTCATATTTAGGTCACTTATCCAGATGGAGGCAACTGTCTTTTTTCACTTATCATGTTCATCCTTCCTCATTAGTTTATATTGATTATCTCACTCTTTTTAAATGCCGCATTCTATTCCACAAAAGATACCCTAACTTATTTAACTTGGAGTACTTTGGGGTATTGAAGTTACTTCTACTTTTAAATGCTATTTAATAATAATAATAGCTACCAGTTATTGAGTGCTTATTACCTGCCAGGCACGGACCTGAACACATTCCACATAGTACCTCATTTAATCCTCACCACAGTTACAGGGTAAATTCTATTATCATTTTTTAATAAGTGAGGAGATACATCTTGTCAAGATTGCACAGCTAGGAAATAAGTGGTGCTAGGATTCTGACCCAATCCAAGTTTGAAGGACTCAAAAGTCCCAAGCTCTTAACCACCATATGCACTTTCTCTAGTATTTACAAATGTCACTTGAAATACTCCATATTTTCATTTCTGTAAGGATGAAGAAAGGGGGGAAATAAACATTTCTTATGTTCTTCCTCTACCCTCAAACCCTTTACTAGATGCTTTCACAAGCTGTCTCCTGGAATTCTTACAAAAGTCCTCTGAGTGGTGGGGTTATCCATTTCCCAGAAACGAAAAGGGAAATTCGGCAAGGTTAAGACACTTATTCAAGGTTTGTAGGCGGGCTCATGGCGGGACCATGGTGAGTTCGAACCCAGTACCATGCAACTCCTGTATTCCAGCTTCTCACTCAGAAAGCTGTGCTCACTAGCTTTACAAATAACACATTGATGAACCCATACTTTTCTGTTTTTGTCTTTTTCTTTCGCTGCTGTTGAACTATTTCCTTGGGATACATTCCCAGAGTGAGATTACTGAGTCAAAGGGTATAAATACTTTTATGGCTTTCCATCTATACTGCCAAATTGTTATTACAAAGGGCTGCACCCATGTTTTCTGCCACCAGCACTGTAGGGAGCTTCATGGCTTACAGATTCCCATACTCAGGTGGGGAAACTTCGCTTCCAAGGGGTGTCACACCTAACACAGTAAGCCCTGAGGAGAAGAATTTTAGAGCGATCTGATGGATAAGTACTCTGTCCCACCCCGCCCCCGCCCAGCCCTGATGTATAGTGGGTTTTGTTTTTTGTTTTGTTTTGCATAACTTTGCCTCTCTTATGAAATCCTTTAAAACGTGACTAAAATGGGATTAAGCATAGTTAGGCTTGTCTTTTAAGAAGAGGACAAATCTGACACCCTTTTCTGACGCAGTCCCCCTTGGGGAAAGCGCTCCCTGCAGCTTGGCCCCTGAGGGGGCAACTCTGAGAGGGGCATCAGGGGAGGGGGCTACCCTGGGAGGAGGCATCTTGGGGAGTGAGCGTGTCGGGGAGGGGGCCGCCCGGGGAGGGGCGGGGGTGAGACGCGGGCCACAGCTAGCCGGCCGGGCGGCCGATGATAAGGCGGGAGCGGCCCGTCGCCACGGCGGCCACGGCCGGGCGGGAAGGCGGGAAGGGGCCCGGCCGGGCGAGAGCAGATAACGCCCGGCTCTCGGGCCGCCGAGACTCGGAGACGCCGCGGCCGCGGGAGATAGAGGCGCCCGGGCTCGGGCGCGGCTCCCGGCTCCCGGCCCCCCGGCGCCCACAGCGGGCAGGTCCGGGGACGGCGGGCGCGCCCACGGCCCGGAGGGTTTAGGGCCGCGCAAGGTCCGGGACCGCCCCGCGACCTCAGCGCGCCCGCAGCGCCGGGCCCCCAGCGGGCCCCCATCAGCGCTGGGACCCTGGCCTCGGCCCAGATCGGCCCCGTGACCCCAGACAAAAGTCTCCCCTTGGACTTCGGTTCCCTCCTCTGTAAAACGAGGGCATTGGGGAATCGTTAATAACCTCTCAACACAGGGCGTGTGACAGGCTCTTTACAGTGTACAAGGGCCACTCTCTGTTACCGAGCTTGGCTCTCCAACAGCTCCAGAGGAGAGTTCTGGTGACACTGCCTGCTTCTCACAGATGGGGGTTAAGGAACTGGCCCTGGCCACCTGGCCCCTGAGCATCCTAACAGGGTCCAGGACCCAGAGCTCCACACTTCCTTACCCCACAAAGAGGGGCCTTCCCCCCTGCTCCGAGGCTGACAAGGAAATCTCCAACAGTGGCATTTGCATTCTGCCTTTTCAAATTCCTCAGATTCCCCACATAAAATCCAGTTGGCTGCCAGACAGCCAGGGAGGAGGAGGGCTGGGAGAGGCCTCACAGGGGCAGCCAGGAGCCATAAACTGGCCCCAGCTCTCCAGCAGAGAAACAACTTTGGGAGTGGGTGGAAATTCACACACACACAGGGAACCTCCCTTTAATCACCCCACTGCCAAAATTAAACATCTCCTGACAGCAGCAAGCCGGCGCTGACTTCTCCCCCTGGCATTCAAAGCCCTGCCCATCCTGGCACGGACCCTCCTGTACCTGCCAGCCCTCCACGGCACACTTTCCACTGTATGCAGTTTGCCTGCTTCAATGTCTCACTCACCCTCTTGGCTCCTTGGCAATCCTAAAGCCTTCCTCTTCCTCTCCCACTCACCCCCAGCAAGGATTTAACTCTTCATGGTGCCTTCCTACAGGATTTTCAAGGGTTTGGTTTTTATTTTTTGTTTCGTTTTGTGCTTTGCATTAAATGACCTTCAGAACCGTGCCCCGAGTAAGATTTGACTCCTCTGTAAGACAGCCGCCGCTGATTGCATGCCCACTGTGTGCCAGGCCGTTTCATACAGTATCAAATGCTGTCAACAACCCCAGGAGATAAGAGATATCGCTCCCATTTTACAGATGAGGAAAACTGAGCTTGCAGTGGTCCAAGAGGTCACAGAGCCAGGAACTGGTTTGGCCTAACTCCAGATTCAGGCAGAACGTGAGTAAAAAGCAACTGACTAGGAGACCTTGGTTCTTCTAGGCGTTTTGTCACTAACTCAGCGCTTGGGCAAGCCCCTCTCTTTTTCTGGGCCTCAGTCTACTGGATTACAATGGAGATGACAGCTCCTGCTTCTCAGGGCAGTTGAGGGACTCTGCAGAGAGATGGACATGAGGCTGGACCTGCAGGCCAGCCCCCCCTCCAGGGGAAACTGCAGGTTACGGGTATCCCCCCTTTCTCCCCCAGGAGAAAGCACCGCCTCATGGAAACTGAATTATCTGTGCCCCACCCCCACCCAGGTGGGCCTCTCCTGAAAGTCAGTGTTCCATTTCCCTCTGGTGCCTGGGCAATACTGTCAGTCTCCGGGCCGAAGCCTCTCTGCGCATGCCCCTGACCTTCTGCCCCGTTCCTCCTCATCCCACTCCCAGGCTCTCATGACCCATCTCTCCTCTCTCATTCAAACTTGCTGAAGAAAAAGCCACTCCATCAGTCTCTTACAGTTGAATATGAATGAGGTCAAGTTAGTAGCATGTTCTTCCCAAAATATGCATGTTATCAGCCTGGGATTCTGGACGGTTACTAATTTGGGGTAATACGTCTCTCCCTCTCCGCAGGCAGGAAGGCTGGTCCTGCCCAGTGCATCTGGAGTTCCATATTTTTATATTTTTATTGGTTTTTTCCCCCCTGCCCTCCACATCCTGAGCTGGGGGAGAGAGTTTATAGGAGCCCACTAATTAACAGAGAACAGAAGCCTTGTTTCTTAAATAAAAGCATAGATACACTGTAGGAATAGAAATGGAGAATGCTCCCTGAAGAGTGTTTAAACTTTTAAAAATATCCCCCCCAGGGTCTGGGCAGGTGAACCCTGAGGGCTTTCCCCTGGGGGCAGGGGCACTGGCTGTCCCTCAGGAGAAGGGAGTTTCCTTGGACTCTGAGCTAGACTCTTGCAGCGTGGCCTCCAGCTCATGGTGGCCCCCTCTGTGCCCATTCCTCCCCCAGCTGTACCAGCCCTTCCCAACGTGGGTCTCTGGGCAGAGGGGAGAGAAGAGTTAATGATGGCTGTCCCCAGGGTTAGTGGATCTGGGTTCCAGTGTGGTCAGGTGGGGCTATGAGACCTTAGGCAAGTCACTGGCCCTCTCTGGACTTTCCTCTGTCTGAGGAATGGAAGGTACCGGTGAAATGAGCCGTGAGGTCTCCTCCCACTCTGAAGTCCTGCACTCACTGCACTTTATAAACAAGGCCGTTCTGGGAGCTGTAGGCAGACCCAGAGCTCACGTGTAGGTGGCTGGACTTTGGCCTGCAGGCTTAACCCTCAAATCACTTCAGATGTGGGCAGCTCTTCATCCTCATGACGGCACAAAACAGCCTCTACTGTTACACCAATTTCACAGATGTGGAAACGGAGGCTCCGTGTTTGACCTGCCATACAGACCCCGTGAAGAAAGCTAGGCAGAAGGGACTTGCACCTTTCTGCAAATGTGGAAACTGAGGTCTAGAGAAATCCAGCAACTGTCACAGTCCCAGGGCCTTGCTCAACCAGGGTAAGAACCCCTGGAAGCACAAAGTGCAGGCTGAGCGACCGTGGTGAGTTGCTGCCCTTCCTGGACTGTTTCCCTGCGACCCGAAACTAAAGGGATGGTGGTGTGGATGCTCTCACTCAGGAGCAGCCACGCTAAAACGGCCCCTTGATGGAGACACACCTCCTCTTCCCTGAGAGCGCAGTGGTCTGTGTGCTGCCATCTGGTGGCCAGGCCTCATCACTGCAGAAGCTTCAGAGGCGGGGAGGCTCAGGGCCTTCTGGTCCAATTTCCCAGTTTCCAGAGACAATCTGCAAGAGAGGTTTGAGCCTGGATCATAAGGCAACCTGAAGAATTCAGGGAAGCTGGTTTGTCTGCTGGAGCAGCTTCCACTCTGGCCCTGACAAGAGAAGTGCTTCTTCCAGGGACCTGGGGAGCTGGGCCGCTTGCAGAAGCATCCTGCATTCTCCCCTGCCTCACCCCCACCCCTCCCCTGCCGACATCCCCTGCCCTGAGATCCCTGTGCCCACAGCACGAGGGGAGACCAAGGCCTAGGAAGCCAGCCCTTGATTACAATCATACAGCAAATAAGGATGAGGGCAGGCTCCAGGATTATTTCAGTGCTTACTGTGTACATCAAAGCCTAACTTGCTGTGTGACTTTGGACAAATTACACACCATCTCTGAGCCTGTTTCTTCTATGCTGGTCAAATGACATAATGTATGCAAGCTGCTTTGCATATAATAATGAGCTGTGCTTATCATTACTGTTCTGGCAGATGTTTCCATTGTTACGTCTCCTGATCTTCTCCGTGGTAAGGGGTCCTCATAGCCCCGCTTCACAGAGGAGGATGCAGGACCTGAAAAACTTGCCCTGGAATACGTTTAGTAAGTGGTTGGTCAGGAATCCAAACACTGGCTATTTCAGAAAATGCACACTGAAGGCAAAAGGGGCACAGAGGTGTGATGCCAGAAGCCTACTTTTACTATTTTTATACAATTTTTAAAGGTTACGCTCCATTTACAGTTATTACAAAATACTGGCTATATTTGCCATGTTGTACAATACATCCTTGAGCCTATCTTATACCCAATAGCTTGTACCCTCCCCCACCCCTATATTGTCCCCCTCTGCCACTGGTAACCATTAGTTTGTTCTCTATATTTGTGAGTCTGCTTCTTTTTTGTTATATTCACTTATTTGTTATATTTTTTAGATTCCACATATAAGTGATATCATATAGTATTTGTCTTTCTCTGTCTGACTTATTTCATTTAGCATAATGCCCTCCAAGTCCATTCATGTTGCTGCAAATAGCAAAATTTCATTCTTTTTTATGGCTGAGTAGTACTCCACTGTGTTTATATATATATATACCACCTCTTCTTTATCCATTCATCTGTTGATGGACAACTTAGGTTTTTTCCATATCTTGGCTATTGTAAGTAATGTTGCTATGAACATTGGGGTGCATGTATCTTTTCGAATTAGTGGTTTTGTTTTTTTCGAATATATACCCAGGAGTGAAATTGCTGGGTCATATGGTAGTGCTATTTTTAGTTTTTTGAGAAACCTCCATACTGTTTTCCACAATTGGAAGCCTACTTTTAGATGGTTCCGAAAACAGGAAATATGGGAGACAGAGAATGATGAAGCAAAATGGGACAGAATGTAAACAATTGATGAATCTGGCTACAGGTTATACAGGAGTTCTCTGTTCTATGTTTTTTATTATTAATTAATTAATTAATTTATTTATTTTTGGCTGCACTGGGTCTTCGTTGCTGTGCGCGGACTTTCTCTAGCTGTGGTGAGTGGGGGCTACTCTTTGTTTTGGTGCGCAGGCTTCTCACTGCAGTGGCTTCTCTTTTTGCAGAGCACAGGCTCTAGGCGCACAGGCTTCAGTAGTTGTGGCACACGGGCTCAGTAGTTGTGGCTCACGGGCTCAGTAGTTGTGGCTTGTGGGCTCTAGAGCGCAGGCTCAGTAGTTGTGGTGCATGGACATAGTTGCTCCGTGGCATGTGGGATCTTCCCGAACCAGGGCTCGAACCCATGTCCCCTGCATTGACAGGCGGATTCTTAACCACTGCACCACCAGGGAAGTCCCCTCTGTCCTATTTTTTTGCAACTTTTCCATGAATTTGAAATTATATCCAAAAAAATGTTTTAAAGGCCAGCTATTTCAAAATTCTACCTAGTCTCATCTACTACACTCCTGGGGAACAGATGAAAATCCCGGCCTCTCAGCATTCTTTGCTCCCGACCAGTGGCCCCATGCTTGAGTCCTCAGTGGGATGTGACTGCTGGCAACAGACCTGCAGTCCCTCCATAGGAAGCCAGAAGTGCCCCTGCCCAGCAGCCAGCATCACCCCGGTCCCCCGAGCCTCCTCAGGGCCTCTCCTCAGCTTCCCTGTTTCCCAACCCCCCACCTCGCTCCCGCCCAGGTCCCAGCCAGGCTGTGGTGCGAGGCCGAGGTGGGGTTTATTTATAAGTTCCCGCTGATTATGAATCACTGGAGGAACTGCCTGCAGACTGGAGACAAAAGTCTGGGGCCGGCTGGCCGGGAGGAAACGCTCTTTACATTTGACTTTCCCCTCTGGCACAGGCCACCCCGCGCCTGGCCAGGCTCTGCCAGCCCCTTCTGTTCTCAGAGGCAGAGGTGCATTGGCCGCCAAATCTTGTCGGCCTGTCCGCCTTGCTGTGTAAACAGGACCTGGACCTGGCGGCCCGGCCCCGCACTGGAAACGAGCCTGCCTTCCGCAGCCTGGCCACTTCCTCCTCACATCTGGAGACTCCTCAGAGTTCAGATGAGGGCTGGTGGTCAGGAGCGAGGAGAAGCTGGGGTTTTGCTCTGCTGCGGTCTTCATCAGCCTTGATGGAGGATCAATGGACAAACGGAGGAGCAGAAGACTCTTAGGCAGCTGTCAAAGCCCAATATAAATGACCCCTCCTCAGAGTCTGCCCCCCATTGTAGTTTGTAGTTTTGTTACATTCAATTAACATGTACGCAGCACCTACTATGTACCAGGTTCTGTGCAAGGTGCCTGTGAGACAGGGGTGCAGGGAGATAGCTTATTCATATCATCACTAATTCTTTTGACTCAACTATAAGATTCTTACAGGCAGACAGAGTTAATGTCTGATTCATGATCCACCTGATCTTACAAAGTGCCTAGCTTGCTCTTGCACATAGTAGAAGCTCAAAGTTTCTGTTGCATTGACCTGGATTAAACTAGGGCAGGAAAACTACAAGGAGCCTGGGGTTCAGCCCACTCCCCTTTCAGGGCCTCTGTCCCCATCTGCATTGGCATTCTGTGACCTGGGAGCCATGTTCCTTCTTGGAGCAACTTGGTTTTCCTTTATGAATATCTGAACCAGGTTTTCTATCTGAGTAACTAATAATGTAGGTGATTTGATTTCAGGAGGTGCTAGAAACCCTCCTCCAAACCTCATCCCGAAACATCTTCCCCACTCCTCTGAGAGGTCACCAACTTTGAGGCATTCTCCTCGGTTAAGCATTGCCCTCTCTACCTCCAGGTGAACGAAGGGAGTTCCCTCTGGAGGGTTGACATTATATCCCCATTTTACAGATGAGAAAACTGCAGCTCAGAGAAGCGACACACTTGATCAGTGCTGGCACAAAGGAGAGACAGGTTTTGATTTTTTGTTTTCTTTTTTTTTGGCTGTGCCAAGCCACATGGTTTGTGGGAGCTTAGTTGCTGCAATGGAAGCACGGAGTCTTAATCACTGGACCACCAGGGACTTCCCAAGAGATGGGTTTTGAACTCAGACATCTGCAACTAATGCCTAGGATTCTTCACACAGAGTTGTACTAACTCCCCTTTATCTGATGCCATCTCCCAGAAGAAGAAAATGGGAGGGAAGATGGAAGTCAACTTCAGAAGCTTGCTGTGCCAGAAGTTCCAGGCCGTGCCCAGTGCAATCTGCCTATCACAACATTCATTAAAATCCCCATTTAACAGATGGAAAAATTGAGGCTTGGAGAGGTTGTGATGGGCTCAAGGTCATCAAGCTAATGGTGGCAGCCAGGACCCTTGTCAGACCCCCAGCACTATCTAGACAGCCTGGGGTTGGTGTAATTGCACAGAACAGCCAGGCTGCCAGCCCAGGCGTGGCTGTGAGAACTGCAGCCAGAGGCCTTTCTTATAATGAAAGGCACAGGAGAGGGACTAACATCTGAAGGTTTTTTTTTAATATTTGTTTATTTATTTTGGCTGCACCGGGTCTTAGTTGCAGCACGCGGGATCTTTCATTGTAGCATGAGGGATCTGTTAGTTGTGACATGCATGCAGGATCTAGCTCCCCAACCAGGGATCGAACCCAGGCCCTCTGCATTGGGAGTGGGGAGTCTTACCCACCAGACACCAGGGAAGTCCCCTGAGGGTTTTTTATTCCAGTGGCTTCTATCTCACCTGTCTCAAGACTTTTACAAGACTTCTGCACAGCTGTAAAAAGCAAGGCCTTCACCTTTTCTCTATTGAGAAACTTCCCCTCCACTGCCTGGCTCTGGAAGCCTCAGCAGAGGAGTCAGAGTTACCAGCAGAGGCTAAAATCCCACTGGCCTACTAACTCAGGGGCTCAGGTAAATCTGTCCAAGAGTCAGTTTCCTCGTCTGCTCGTGCAAAAGGGGGATAATATTAGCAATTCACAGAGCTGTCTTTGGGCTAAAATGACTTAAGACATGAAATATCTTCATAGAGCGAAATGGGAGCAGAGAGACGGTCATTATGGTGGCTTGTACTGGTCTCATTATTTCACAGAACAGTCCTTCCTCACCCCCGAGATCCTCAGGTCCCTGAGGGAGGAGAGGAAGGGGACAGAGCCACTGCGTCCTGTTCTTCATCTGTACCATCTTCTCCTCTTATTCCTCCGCATCTGTCCCTGCGCACTACACCTAGCAAACTGGGATGTACTCCGTCAATTCCGGCTGATGGCTCAGAGTGATTAGACCTGGAAGCAGAGGAAGGGGCTTGGGATTTCTCCAAGTCCTCCGTGGCCGGAGAATTCTGGGAGACGAAACCCCCTGAACGAGGTCTCCCACAGCCTCTTGCCTCAGCCAGTGAGCAGGTTGTTTCACATCCACCGTCCCAATTAAACTTCACAGCCATCCTACAAATTAGACCCCTTGAGCCCCATTTGACAGATAAGAAAACCAAGGCTCAGAGAGGCCAAGTGACTTGCCCAAAGCCACTAGACTAGTGGGTGGTTTCCAAAAGAGGATCCAAACTGAAACCAGGGGCTCAGAGATACTAGTTTCAGTATCTGAGGGCTTGGTGCCCAGGAAAGACC